TGGCAAAATGTGATTTCTGATAACATGCTAAGAATTTTTTTCAAAGAAGTCAAACTTTAGAAGCACTGAGAAGAATGTGCTGCTTTGAAACAGATCACTGGATTCTCTGAACTTTCAAGTCTGCCGTTAATTTCAGAGCCAAACTTACTTAGAGAATTACTTTCCATTTGCTTGAGACTTTCTCAAGACAACCTGAGCTGAACATGAATTCCAATTTTATTGTTTCTGTTGAATGAGATATACAAATGTTTCTTCTTAAAGATGTCACGACTAACGAGTTTATTGTGAAATGAAAGATAAAATTATTACAGGTTTGATGCGTAGTTCACTGGAGTCCTTAAAAAATAAAAAAAACTGTCGGATCTTGAGATCTAGTACTTCCAAGCCAAATTGAAGTTTTTATGTGTTCTTCAGTTATTAACTTTGCATAAGAAATCAAAATGTCTTCGATCTTAAATTGACAATTTTGTGGTCTGCATAACTGTAAACAAAACAGTTTTGAGAAAATTTCTCAGAGTTCTCTGAACCAGTCATAGGTTTTATTAACTAAAACTTGCAAAAGGACAAGAGGACGTTGGCAAATGGACTTTCCTAAAACATTTTACAAAAAGATCAAATAGATTTTATCATTTAACTTGGGAGTATCAGTCGATCGAGAGGAATTGCGTTCGTCAAATGTGATTGGTTAATTCCGATCTGTCTGTGAAGTTCGTTCGTTGATGGTTTATAAACAGTTGGAAGGTGCCCGTATATTTAATGGCATCTGTTTAGCTAAGGAAACAGCTTATAGCAAGTCAGTTGTTTTTGTATATGAATTGTAGACGATGTTGTAGGTTGTAAACAAAGAGCAAAGTGCTAATGTGGTTGTTCGTTCATATTCAGATTTTTCGTCGTTTTTTGTGTCCAGTCAGTCTTGTGTTTAGGTTTCTGCCAGTCTCATCCTTGTCTTAAAAGTCGATCACTAAATGTTGTAGATTGTAGGTTACATACAGTTTTGCTGCTCTAGATTTCGAAAGTAATTATTTTGTATTGTTCAGTCATCATTGTAAATAATAAGAAAACAGATTCAAGGTATAAATTTTCAAATGCTTTGTAAACAACAGTTTTGTTCGTCTTGTTGAGGTTGGGCTGTATAATGATTTGTTTAAAAAAGTTAGTCGTTTTGTACATCGGTTATGCATTCTTGATGTAGCGTAACCAAATCGTTTTAGTTTTCCAGTAAGTTGTCCTTTACGATGGTGAAAATAAATTTCACATTTTTATCCCATTTTAAGTTTTTAAGTTGCCATTGTTCTCTTGTCCAATGCAAGATGGATAAATTTTAAGAAAACTAAATGAATCTTTTAAGGTGGCACTGGCAATTATGTAAAAAAAATGTTTCCGAATTATCCCCGTTAAAGAATCCCTGTTTTCCAAATGAAGGAGCACTGGGTAATAGCACATTGTTGCTTGGGTAATGCAGGCCAAAGTATCTGTTCACAAAGCGTCCCTGAATCATTTTTTTTTCATTATTGTAGGTATTGTTGCTTTCTAATAAAGGCCAAAACATTTTTCATGAATGGCTTTTTAGTCGTCATTGTTTGCAGTTCACCATAGAAATCTTTGTTGTTCTTAATATTCAGAGTTTCTTGAACCGTCTCTCAGTGCCTCCTTAAAAAATCCACCATAACTACTTAACTATTATAGTCGTAGAGACTCGACAGTGATACTAATCAGTGCAGCTTACTCGAAGGTCAGTGCTTGAGAAACCTGAGTCATGCAAAATTTAATTTCTACTGTGCGGTTTGTATAAAGAAATAATGCAAATTGAAAAACAAATTAAACAGCTGATCATCTCAGACTTGACCTTTCAGTAAATCTGCAGTATCAGTACCACTGAAAAATTACTACAACAATATTATTTATAAATTCTTATCTTTACTGAGTGATTCCAGTTTGTGTTCCCGAGTTCCTTTTTTTTTCTTGTCTTCTTCCTAATCTTGCTTTTCCTGTAAACAAAAATAAAAAAAGCTCTTATCAGATCGGTTGGCTAAATTACAAACTTTAAGTTTACAACCTAGCGCAGAATAAAATTAGGTCAAAAAACGAAGTTAGCAGTAACCAAGAAAAGTTCATTTGAACAATTTTAAAACACCGTGTCACAATTCCTCTTCGCCTACTAAAGTACATGAATTTCAAAAATATAACGCACGTGGCTGCGTTCAACTTGATTTACAAATGGGTCATCAGCTTTTACTCAAGTTATTTCGAAACTACAAATAATTTATCTCAAAATATTAATGACACAGCATTATTTCTAAGTAAAGAATTGAGTTCGTTGGTTCTTAACAACGATAAAAGTGAACTACGTTCTTGTAGAGAATAACACTTAGTCGAAGACCAAGTTGAAAGCACTGAATGAAAGCGCACCAATTCAGAAACTTTGGTTCATTATTTCGCTTTCAGTTACTAGAATTAAATTAAAACAAAACTCACCATCGGTTGAAATAATGTTTAGTTATATCCTTAGCTTCAGGCCATTCGGATTTTAAGCACGCCCTTGGTTAAACTTTCCCTAAACAGTAACACGTCCTCACCCGTCCACGACCTGTTCGGTTTGACGGCATTCAACAGCTACACATGAATATGGATTATACAGACACCAGCCAATTACTGACGAAGGCGTTATAGCCTTGGAATTCATTTTCTTAGTCGCGCTCTTTTGTATGCAAATATCAATCCCGAAGGTTAAAGAAGGTCATTTCAGGTGTAATTTTTTCTCCGAGATGAATAAAATTGAAGTTGCATTTGATAAAAAGAAACGAAAAAGAAAAGAAACAGTGAAAACCTTGGGAAGTATATGAGAGTCACAAAAAATGTTTACATATTTCACCTCCATGAAAATTTCAGACTTATATTAAGAATTTGAGAAAAGAAGTGATATGAAATAATATTGTCTTTCCCCAAAAATGCTCAGATGCCGCACCAAATAGAATATTGGAAATTTCAACACATTTTGGCGCAAGCGGTGATCAAGCTGTATCTTTCTGGCGCTTTATTTCCAATTTTTTACTAAGAATATATGGAGGAGCTTGACACAAAAGAAAACACAACGAACATGATTTCTATGCGTTCGATTTCGGGACTAAAATGATACTGTGTACAAATTTTAGATGCTCTTCGCGCCGCAAATTACATATTTGAAGTTGGATATCTGGCCAAAAGCTTTCATCAAAAGTTCCTTGGCATGAGATGAACAAATACATGAATGAAAATGTATATTTGAAAAAAGAAATAGCCAATAAATCATAACGATAAAAAGAAATAAAAGTGTTCAGGATTGCAAGGGTGGGGTTCAAGAGCAAGTCAGACATTTTAGCTCAAGTTTTAATCGAAAGACTTTGAAGATATTTTTTATAACTTAACATCTTTATTTGTACCCTAAAGTTAATTTACATGATACAAAAAATATATATTACAGGAAAAATGGAGAGAGTTCAGGCTGCCCATAGCAACCATTGAGGGCTACAAAGATAGGGCAACCTTACTGAGGTTATTAATAAATTATTGTATTAGAGGGTCAGGTAACACACAAATGCACACATTACACAAAACAAAAAAGAAAAAAGGAAAAGGCTAGTAGAAAAAGAAAGCTAATTGTGCCAGTATTTAACAACGGAAAGCTAGAAAAAGTATAATTTTGGTAGATGTGCAATTGATATTTAGCAAAAGGAATTGACTTGAACTTTTTTTTTTAAAACGTAACGTTTAGGTAGGTTATCATCAAAGAACCACAATTAATAGGAAGAGTACCTGTACATTTGACTGCTTCTTCAGTGAAAGGGTTAGGCACCTTGAATAGATAATTATATGATTTCTCCTCACAATATCAATAAACTATGCATCCAACATGCAATGAGAATAGACAAGCTTATCGCCAGGGCGTATATATTTTTTTAGGCAATAACTTCGACGTTTGGTTCAAAATGTTCTGCAGCCTGGACTCTACGCATACTTACTTGGTTTGTAGGAGAAGGTTTCCTGACTGTTATGTGCAATTATGTTATGTTCATCCACAAAAATGTGCACAGGACGAAGTAATGTCACAGGCCTCCCATCACAGCACTGATTCGACACTTCTGGGTCGGCGGCAAAGTACACTGATTGCACGGCTATCAGTGCGCATGACAAATGCATTACTATTTTACCACGGTAGATGCGCAGCTGATCAAACAGGAAATACGTCATCAATAGGACTAGCAGGGCGATGATCAATAGGCGTAAGTTTTTCGACAAATCACAGCGCAAAAGTTAAGCAAAACCTATGCAGTCTGAGACTAATTTGGAAGAACTTTCATTTGCGTCGAAAGTAATCCTACTTTTCTTTGGGTTTGCTTAACTTTGGTCTGTGAATGGTCAAGAAAAATCGTGCCATCCTTTCAACCAATCAGATTTGAAACAAAAATCAATCGCGCCTTAGTCACTCGCATTTTCCCGTGCTTCAAAAAGAAAGGTTTGCTTGGTTTTACTCCGGGTTCTTATTAAGATTAATTTTCAGTTTTTCTAACAAAAACTATTAACCCAAATAATCCAATAACTACAGTTCTACTCATTTGGGATGATTACATTCTTGGTCACAACCACCTTATTTCTTAATTCTGCAATCCAAAAAATATACATTGTAAAGCCTAGATTGCATAAAATCGATATAAATTCCACGACCGTCGCAGAAACCGAAAAACGTGATCTCAATCGATAGTCATCAATTGGACATCACACGGCTTAACAGTGGCAGCGATCCCAGCGATCGTAGCAAACATAACGACCACAATCATTGGCATCGAAAATTCATATCTCATGCCTTGTTCCCAGACTACTCGCTACGAGAGTAGCCACCGCCGAAGAACGTGACTAGCGGTTGTTCAAGCGCAACGAACGGGATTTCTACAATCATTCGGATAGGTCAATGTGCTAAGTTAATCACATCATTCCTGCTTTTTATTTCACAAATTAACTCTTACTATTACAGAAACAAAGTGTTTTCTATTGCAATAAAAACCATTAATACGATTTTTCATATAATTCATCTGTACCTACCTTCGTTCATTTAGGAACAATGTAAAAACGTGAAAAGTCAAAAATCATTTTTCGCGGTCTGGGATGTCTTTTATCTTCACTTAGTTTCATTCAAATTGACGGATGGACAACTAAAATTAAAACTTCAAAAATTCACTGTACCAGAAGCTACACTAAATCTATTTTCTTGTTGTAGTTTCTTGAAAGAAAATTTATGTAAGCGCGCCGCGCGAACTCTGGGAGTGGACGAAAAGCAGGGACTGCTCGTAATCTAAATATTGACATTATCAAGGGCCTGGTACTGGCTCACTAGAAAATACGCTTGCTACACATTTTTTTCCTTTCATTGTCATTCCGAAAAAGAGTAATAACAAAGTTTTTTCCTCATCACATTGAGATAGATCTTAAGTGACTTCCTCGGGCCTCTAACTCAACTCAACTTCCTGTTGGGTCGACAGGGGGACTGGGGGGTGCAGCTTCCTCATTTGAGGGGGGGCCTACAGGAGGAGAAAATACAAAAAAAAATCATCAGTTTTAGAGCGGGCGTAAAAATATCTTGAGAGAAAAAGCAACAACATATTCTTGTATTTGATAAAGACGTCTAAGGACGCCCTGCCAACAATCAATTTGCAGTAAGATTTACCATTTACCTTTCCAAACATCACACAAATTATAGACTATGAGTAGTCCCTGCTTTTCGGCGAAGTTCTTCGCGCAAAATCAAAAAAAAAAAAATAGTAAATGAAAATAATAAAAAAAAATTGATGTTGGCGTGCAGCCAGCGCGGAGCTCTGGAAGAGAGGCGCACGAAAAGTACGCACGAAATGTTTCCTGCGCCTCACTCCCAGAGTTCCGCGTGGCATGCTAACATTAATTTTATTTTTACTGATACTTTTTTTAACTCGCGCGAAGGACTTCGTCAAAAAGCAAGGACTGCTCGTAGTCTACCCAAATCTAGGAATTGAAAAAAAAAATTGACATAATGTTCTACGTTATGGAAAGATGTTGATCAAGGTATCAAGATAATTAGTGGTTTTAAATTCATAAGAGAACTGTCATATCATTTCATCAATTCCCACAATTCCAGTTTTCTCAGCTCTGTGTGTGTTGATCACAAGACGTGGACTAAGAACGGAAGGTGAGAAAGGATGTGGGGAGAAAAATGCTAGCATGGGTAAGAACATGATTTCGAGTGCAATTTGGTGTCAATAAGCATGAGTAAATTTTTTAAAGGCAACAAAATCGCACGAGCCCGTAGGGTGAATGCGGTCTGTAGTCTTTTCACTCGTGTTACTACTTTGCACTCGTGTTGCGTTAAAATTCACTCGTTTTCAACCAATCAGATACGCGTTATTTTTTCATGTACATTATTACGCACAAAGCAATTTGCGTTATTTCTTGGTTGAGGATCCTTTAAAGAGCGTTGTACAACAGGGGCCGGAGACAAAGACTATCGGTTTCTTTTGTATCAGAGAAGATAAAGCGTCTTAGTCAGTTGAGATGGAAGCCTGGCTTTTCACTTTCCCAGAGCTCTAGGATATTAACGTTTCTCTACCTTCTGGGGACGCCTCCTTGCTTTCTTTCTCTTCCTTTTCTTCGTCGGCGGTTTTGTCTGCTCTGAAGAAGATTCTTGCACTGTTCAGCGAGAAGTAGACAAGTTCAAACTCCTGCAAAATAGAGCACAGAGGTGATAATGATTTAATTTTCTAGCTTCAAGGGATTCTATAGTCTTTTTCGGTCGTGGGTAGCGAACAACTGTACTAGATCTGATCGCAGGTAAATTACCGAAGGTAGTTGGCCAGCAGTTGGCAAAAATTTGCCAGCATTCCGTGAAATTTTCGCGCGAGCGACCCGCCACAATTGACCAACCCCAATAACCTGCGACAATTACATTCTCCATCCTTCACATAAACAGCCTGCTTATCTTAATGTTCATATAAGGTGTCCCTACATAAAGATCCTGCAGGCAATCGTCCCGGGTTTGGGGCTGCAAAGCAGCGACAATTTATACACGACCTGCTCGTGTTTCCTCAAACAACACTCACCTGTTGATAAGTATTTAGTCGTTTCAATGTTAGATTCATGGTTTGCTGTAGTTTCTCGTCTCGCGCACTCCCACGGCTCAGTGAAACCTTCACTTCAGCCTTAGAGAAATTACATACACAATTATAAGTTAACGTTGTAAAATTATCACTAATAATAAGCACTAAGAATTGCTCAATTATATGGGATCAAATTTTCGTAACAAACACAAAACATCATGGTTAGCGTAAAAAGGTTGTGGTTATTCATCGTGGTGAATAACAATAAAAGCTAAGTTTTTCGTTTGTCTCACGATGTAGTCACGTGTGATGTAGATCGCGACGTTTCTACTGCATACTGCTAGTCCTCCTCAGGCGATGAGGTCGACTGGTCATGCGTGATCTTACAAAGCATGATGCTCTGCTGTGATTAGTTATGGTTATCATGGTTAGCGGTTACGAAGGACTTGTCTCGCAACTAAGACAACAAGCTTGTGAATAGATGTATTGATGCACATGTTGAAAGCAAGGCTAGTTCATCACAAGTACCCAATGCACCCCAAAGACATTTTGTCAGTTTACAGGTACCTATTTACAGCTGAGTACTCCTGGGTAGAGAGAAGCACTGGGTGAGTTCAGTGTCGTACCAAGGATCACAGCACAGTGACCTAAGCAGGGCTGGAACCTAGACTCCTCAACCCAGAACCCTCTGCGCGAACCACCAAGCTTCCCTATCAACCCTCGGCACCAGGCTTCTCGCAAACGAGGAAAAAACGAAAATAAATATGAATTCGAACCACTGTTTGAAGATACTTTAATTTACCTTTTCTTTCTCGTATTTTTCCTGCACCGACTGGAACCAGTGAAGAGAATCAAACTCCTTGTACTGGTCAAGTAACTTTAAGATATACGCCACCCCTGCAAGAGATAGTAGGTTGTTCATGAGGGCGGTTAAAGGTACCTACATAGGAGGGCAGAATCTCCTGTGCCTCAATGACGTCACCAAGGCAACCGAGCCACAGCTCTATTTCTGGTTTCAGTTTTGGATCTGATTGGCTGAGAGAACGACACTAGTTTTCTGGGTCGATCACAGGGCGAAAAAAAAGAGGAAAAATCATTGAAAGCAATTCTGTATCAGAGAAATTGCTTTGGCAAGTGTTCTACATACTGTTAGAATCACCAATGTCGGAAAAACCGAATACGTCAGTGAAACTCACCCATTACAAAGCCATCATCAGTAAAAGAGGCTCCAATTTTGTTCTTCTTAGTGAGCTTTTCCTTGCAACTAAGCATGTATTCCACAAAGTTCAGCGTCTGCAAAGGATAAAACGCGAGACTGGTTTAACTTGAAGATAGTGAAAACTCTAGTGCTATCACATCGGAAATAAATAGAACGCTTCACGTGTCGCATGCGGTAAAACCAAAATCACAGTTATTAAAACAGCCAATCAGACAAAAGGGAAATGTCAAGAGCAGCCAATGGCAACTCAAAGTAAAAACGGGCAAATTGCCTAAAGTGCGGGAAAACGAGGGTGACCAAGTCACGATTCGTTTCAGTTTTGAATATGATTGGTTGAGAAAAAGGCGCAAGATTTCTGGACCAATCACGAGAAGAAGTAAAGCAAAAGAAAAACAATCCTTGATTATTATTGACACTCGATTGAAAATAATCAAAAGAAACAAAAAGTGGCTCCAGGGAACAAGCTTACCAAAGGAGGTACGATGACATAGAAGTTTCTAAGATGCATGTTTTTGCTGTCCCTGAATTCTGGTGCGAACACATCGACGAGAAGCTAACGAGGAAAAAAAAACATTACACTGTCAGTATAAGTAAAGGAAACACACCTGGTTAAAGGGGGAAGTGAATAAAGGAGGGAAGGTACTACTTTTCCTATGAGGAACTAATTGTGAGTTACCTTGAAGTACTCTGTCGCACCAGCGAAATTCTTGGCCAAGTCGTTAATTGCAGCATCCAGGTTTCTAAAACAAGAACAATCCATAAATCAAATAACTAATCTAATGACCACCAAGTTCACGACAAGAGCAGTAGGTCTGCTTTCGTTTTAGAGACTCACAAGACCGCGAGATTGGTGGACTTAGTTTTTCATAAATCCTTTGGCGTCTAAGCCTGCCCTTACCGCGCACAAAACAATCACGAACCGCTATTTAAGGACTCGTGTGAAATCTTAGGAGGAAATCCGATCCAAAACAGACTTAAACGCATGTAAAGTGACGCTATAAAGAACTCGTAGATATTCTATGTAGAATATAAATAAAATTTACAGTGATTGTTCTAAAGGCCGATGATCCTATGATTCTAAGAAATAGAATCGAGCCGTCATTCCCACGAAAGTCTGCCCCAATTGATCCGCCATAGTGAACAATTTGTCCGCCATCTTTGATAAGACGCATACTCTTGCTAGATTTCTATTGTATATCGAATTTGTATATTTGTATATCGAATCCCCACAGTACTCGTTCCTACACTTCGCATATCCACGAGTGAACAAGGAAATTAAAAATAAGTGAAATCAGTCCATCTTGATTTATGTGATCACGGAGACGCCAATAACACACGCGTCAATGAAAAATATCTGAGTCCCACTAGGGTTCGTACCCAGCCAGTTCTGATTTCACAAGACCATTGTGACAAGTACACCACACTGCTCAGATCAGCAGATTGGAAAGCGTCCCGTTGGCGCCCTTTGCTTTTCAAAGGGTACTAGTATTAGTTTCTTATTAAACTCACTTGGACGCCTGTTGTGATTCTTCTGAAAGGTTCTCTTCTTTCACCAGTTCCTCAAAAGACACAATGTCTTCGAGATCAGGAACGAATCTACGGAGATAATCAACACCATTTCTTGTCAGTACAGGAGAGGATTCCATGAATTGCTAGGAACAGGGAAATTTTTGCCTGCAAATAATTTTGATTTTCTGATGTTCCTATACTTCGCTCTATGATTGGTTTAGAAAACTCGCGCCACCCCCGCGGCCCGCATTTTCTCGGGATTCAGTCGGTTAGCTTACTTTCACTTCTTGTTCTGATTGGCTCATTTTGGTTCTTCGAAACTCTATAGAAACGCCCCTCAGTGAGTTTCAGAATGTACCATCACAGCCAAGCATACACTGCACCAATGCAAGGTACGCAGTGGGAAGCTTAAGTCCAAAATAGCAAAATAAAAATTACAACAGATAAACATTGAGACGAAATGTTATACCTGATTGCATTACTACAGCAATGGAGACCTCCAGAGCGAATCATACGAACATAGCCCATTGCATTCCCTATAGAAAAGTAAGAAATAAAAACCTGAAAACGTTATTTCTTTCGCTTACTTTTGTAATGAACACAAGCTTAACAGTATCAGAGGAACATCTCTTACCAAGGATGTAGCATGTATATAGCATAGAGTAGCGAAAGCAATTTGTTAATTAGCACTGACGCCTTAATCCAAAAACAAAACGCTTATTTTAACGACGATTTCTCGTAGAATCGAAATCGAGAGACAACGAGACGAGGAATTTTTCATCGCCGCAGCACTTTTTAAGATTCTAACAGAGCTGACAATTTACCAATCTGGCTGATCAGGGTTCTGAACTGATCCAGATATGTTTGACCCTCAGGAGTCAAACCAAGTTTCCTGATTCCCTTGTTGAACTTCTCGGCTCGTTCAAACGGGTATTTTTGATCCGACTGTTCCTTCGTCTCTTTGAAGAAGCGAATGTCCTGAAAAAGAAGCGTTGAATGGTAACATGAGCCACAGTTATTGCCAAAGACCCTTGCTTAGTAGACAAGAACCTAGAACATAAACAAAGTCAATATAAACGGACCATGGAAGCGCGAAGGGTATATTACAGAGGTGATGGAGCGCTTTAAAACATAGGGGAAGGGGGAATGGGGGACTAAAGCGCCATGCTAAGCACTCACCTCTGCCCTAATTTCCCAAAATGTCCTCTGTATAGTTCTTTAGCACAAGCAAACCTCTATGCAATCTTAACAGTGTTCTCTGTGATCGTAATCGATTTGTGACATTTCATAGCTGGGCAATCGTTCAAAGAAATTTCTAAGATGAACTATCAGAGTAGCTAATTATGCTCTCACGCCATGACCTCGAGCCAAACATATTCCTGTCCGACCCAACCAAAACCCATTCATTGACCATTTTTTCATACGACCGTAGTTCTTTCCCCTTCTTCCCATTCCTGTGCACTTTGCATCTCGCGAAACCGAACCTAGGGCGGCGCAGCTTTCACCGGCCCAGCTCGCGACTTCGCACAGAACCATCGTCCGGGGATTTTTCAAAAATGGCTTTCAGTAAAATCCCGCACGTGGTTGTATGTGTCTTATAACAGAAAATAATTTTTGACCGGAGCAATCTTAATGAAACGAATTATAAAATATTCACGGAACCAAATCTCTCGTCCAGGCCAATTTTTCGCGACGTTAGGGTTAATTTTTCGTACCGAAACGTGGGCGGAGTTGGAATCTGTTCCCTCAGATTTTCGTTAAGAAGGAGGCCAATCCCCCCTCCCCCCTCCCCCCCACGCCCTCGGTACATCATCATCACGTACCTTGATAAGTCTTGCCTTGATGTGCTCGTCGTACAAGAACTGGGAAAAGATGAAGAATTTCTTGCGCAGAAACTGATAAGTAAAATTCACGGTTGTGTTCATAATCCCCGAACCGTGCGTGCGAATGGAGTTGGCAATATGACGGATATTTATAGTGTTCAAATGTTTGTTATTTGATGCGAGCTCGACAAAAATCTGAAACAAAAAAACGACAGAGGTTTCAGGTATCATCCCAAAGCGCTGATTGTTGACAAGAATTGCACAAAAATACACTTCCTAACCTGGTTGTTGAGGTTGTAAAGATATCGAGAAACAAACACGTGAATGTTCCGCATGATCTCCAACACGTCCAGACCCTACGGAAAAGATGTTGGGATAAGGGCATCTCAACCAAATGGCTGAACAAAACATTAAAGCTTGAGTGTACAGATGAGTGAATGGACTAGTGATAGATCGATCGGGTGTTGGATGAACGAGTAAACAGACTGATAGATGAATGAATGGACGGACAAAACAATAGGAAGGGAGGAAAGATAGACAGATGGATCAACGACCGACCTAACGCAACAACGAACACACAAACGAAGACATCAACGTGCCAACGAAGGGACGAACAAACAACGAACGAATACGAACGAACAAATACGTCAACTTTAGAAACTCTTTACGGTGGCCAATTTACATTATCAACTAAGTTGATAAAACCAAATTGTCTTTGAGTAGGATTTGGTCTTTGATGTTTCTCTGTAATCACCTGTTCAAGAGTCTGGCTGGGCAGGTGAGCTTCAGTCATTTCCAGGCCGTACTTTTGTTTGGCTTGGTTTCTCATCTCACCGTACGTCCTCCAGTCATGAAGGGCCACTGTAGTCAAGTTGTAGAATGTCGCATCAAGGTAATGAGTCACGTGTTCTACAAGAAAAAATCAAAAAGTTTTCCTACACGTTTTCGAAGAAAAAAAAATTAAAAAACTAACTCGCGAAAGTTTTCTTTTGAATAATCACACACAGAAAGGTTTCTTCCTAACAATTAAAAGTACTCATCACCTAGTAAAATATTATAAACAACAAAACTAGAAAGTACTGCTCTTTAGCTTTCAAATGAACTCTCACACACCAGGGTGTCATTTGCAGATTTTCACAACACAATAAAAGGTACTATCAAAAAACAGTGCTGGGCAGCTACCTTTTGCATAGTGAAAAACTCCATGAAAAACTGGAGTTTTTCACCAAACTGGAAATCAGAACCACCTCACTCAACATAATAAACAGAACCACATCAAAAAAGTTCTCAGTACTTTTCCTTCAAATGGCTACAAAGGCTGAAATACGGTACAGCAAGGTTTAGAAGAACTCACGTTTGATGTTGATGAACTGATGAAAAAATCTAATCGGCCTCATTTTCAAAAACTGAGAAAGGTCTCTCATTCCAACCTGAACGAAGGAAAAGTTAAAATTAAATTGGGAGCACCATACTATGCAGACAGGCAGATCGACAAACAGAAAGAGAGCAGAGAGCTAGCAGACACTCAATATTGGCGCGGCGGGGAGATTGGAGACGAGTCACAAAGAGATTTGCTGGGGTCTGGTACTCGTTATCGGTACCAAATCCCTCGCCGACCTCTCGTTGGCTAGCGTTGCTCAAGGCCGCATAATTTCCCGCAAAGGAGGAAACGCTCGTGCTGAAGAACTAATAAAGACAGCCTGCTCGCGGGCTAACAGAAAGTCAAATGGACAGACTAATACAAACAGATGGACTCAGGGAGCACTCAGGAAGCAAGAAAGGAAGACCGACAAGTTAAGAAGAGGAAAAGACAAAGACCTGCAGAGGACACAGAGAACAGGCAAGCGGTGGACAGACACACAGATAGCCGGACTCACCGACAGAAAAAAAAAACAGAGGAACAGATAGATAAGAACAAACAGGCAATGAGTCAGGCGGATAGAGGAAGAGGAAATCAGCTGAATAACCATTCACATAACTAATGAACAAACCTTGAACGGATTTCTGTCATCTAACTGCAGATGCTGATGGATGTGAAGTCGTAGATCTGTTTCAATGTCACGACACAGTGGTTGAAGCAAGTTCTGAACAAAGAAAACATCAAAGATATGGAACTTGCTTAAGGGACCGTATCACGCTATCTTACTATCGCGATATTACCAATACAGACTTTACTATAATGCCCCTGAAAAGTGTCACGTAAGGTCAAGCTAGTTTCCTGTCACGCTGGCTCAGTGCAGGAACTATTGAGAGCAAAAAGTCCGTTTTGAAGAAGTCACTAGTATGATGTCATTTGGAAGACTTGAAAACAAAATGAGACGCTGTCCAACCGACAAAAGAAACTAAGGTGCAAAGCTGAATTATACGAAGTAATAATTTGGTTTCCAAAAACACATCTCTTGGAAGTTTACGAGTGCAGTAAATAGGATGCTTTAAACTTTAGTGATTTAGGCGTAAAAATATTACGTTATGTTGTTTGGGACAGCTTTCACGAGTCACGATTGACAAAAACGAATGTAAATAATAAACGGTGAGGTTCTCCGTGAGTAGAGAGATTCGAATGTACTCCATAACCGTCGGTATATTTTAAGATCTCATCAATAATTCTCCTTACTATCTGCCATACAACTCTTATGATGTTACTTTGGAGAATTTGGTATTGGATCTACTAAAAATCCCCTAATTGCTATTTTTCTTTATTCTCGTCACTTGTCTGCTTGATATTGCATTGACAATGTGAGGAGAAATTCTCTCTTGGTCACTCATGGGAGTGAAAGGGTTAAATTTTACTGCAAACACTAAACACAAAAGGAATTGACAGTGACTGTCCTGCAGGAGAAACAAAACTATTAACCTTGGAAGATCGATTTTAAGCAGATTCTTTGATATAATAACACCTCCCCATGAAGAGTACGAAAACTCATTCATAACTCATAAAATCATTCAACAGACCTCAAGATAACATCCTTGGGAACTGAGAGGAAGTTTTTAATCAGCATACTCACTTCATGTAGTGTGTCACCAATTTCTTTCTCAAATAATTCCAGCATGACTTGCGGTGATGGTTCGTGTTTCACTCGCTGAAGGACTGGAACACAATCGCCCAATGCGCTAATCATGTACTAAAAGAAACCAAGTTGAAATTATGTTATACGTTACGAAAGGATATAAAACAAATTATCGATGGATTCCTCCCTCCTCAAAAAAAGGAAAGGTTGACTTGAGCCCAATAAAGTTACTGGGTATTTAAGGAGGACTGTTTTTACAGCAAAGGAGGGCTAAATAGCAGCAACCTTACGACCATCTCTCTGGATTGGCCCTTCTGTACTCCCTTCCCCACTCCCCCCTCGCACTCTCCACTTCACCCTCTTCACCCAACTTTTCTCTTGCTTTTTGCTCGTCTGTTTATTTGTCTTTCTATCTGTCTGTTTGTTTGTCTACTCCCCTTTTGGCCTGTTTTTTTGTTCGTTCGTTTATATCTGTTTTTTTCCTTTTTCTTCGATTTAGCTTTTTACTTTACGTTTGTTTTCCTTTTGCTACAAAAACAGTTTTCTGGCAGTTTTTACGGCAAAGGAAGTGCCAAACACAAGTCTTGAAGACAGCCGACAAGCGAAAAAACAACAAAGTCGAGTTTCGCAATTTTACTTCACCATAAAGCAAAAACGTGTAATGGTATGGCCGTCTATCCACCGATATCGTCCTAATGCTTGGTCGAGGTTGCGTTTAATTTTCTTGTGCGGAGAGAGGCACAGAAAGATCAAGGTGCCATATGATTCATTAAGAAACTTACATGAATTCGATGCACATCTGTAGCACTGTCATACAAGTCTGTCAAGTACGTTGGAAACACAACCTACAACAGAAAGAAAAATAAAACGATCATCCATCTTTGTCATTAATCTTTAAACGTCCCAAAGTATAAGTACAAATTTCCTGAGCCTCAGGTTGTTTATTCTGTAAAAACAACGCACTTATTAGCCGAACTTGACTGATTGCTCAGTGAGGGAAAGGACTACTGTAAGTAAGCTTTAAAACCTACAACCAGAAGCCTTCCAGTGAATTCGCACGTGCAAGTTAAAAAGCACACCGATGAACGAGCCCAAGGAGATAAAACCACGAACTATACGTAAACAGCCGACAAACCAACGAATGTCATGTAAACAGCTGACGAACTAACGAACGACATGTAAACAAGCAGACAAATGGGCGAACCGATGAACCGACGAACAGAGGAACTGACGAACGAACAAGAACGAACGAACAAGCAGACGAACGACGACGACTCAGCATTTAGCTAACGATCAATCCAACAATATAACAAGCGTATGTAAACCGAAATCTCCCTCTTTCATCCACTTCTCTGTTACTAATCTGCCGTTCACTATCGCGCTTCGTTTTACGATCTGCGCGCCTGGAAAAAGCAAGACAAAGTTAAAAGATAAGAAAACAAGTAACTTGCCCTATGCCAATGAAGAAATCCACAATCGCAAGCTTTTTTAACTCTTGATCTCAGATCACTGACCAGGTTAATTCGCTTCATTACACTGGTTAAACTGGCCATCTCGTCATCTCTGAAAGATTTCTGCGTCAATCAAAAGTTAAAATGGTGAAACTATGTACAATATTCACGATCTTTACATTAATGACGCACAGACTGTCACCAAAACTACGTGTTATTAAATCCTCTATCCACAACTAGACGCTTAACGATGTTAAAAAAATAATGGAGAAACTCACCATTTGAACGCCCACATGAAGGCCTAACATGGCAATAAGTCTGCGCTCCTTTGTGGCTGAAGAAAAAAACCAAAGCAACAGAAATTCTGTCACAATCAGTGTAATGTTACAGTATTTTTACCACTATAACAGGGTAACCCAGTGTTCTGACGCCTGCTCAGTCTCTCTTCTAACGGTACCACATTGGCTTATGCATTTAAAAAAATTCGCTAGCACAAATTATGAGGGCCTGCTCGCGGGCTAAAAATCCGCAAGTTCAGTGATTTACAAAAATATGTCCTCTACATCATGGTTTGTTTTAATTCACAAAGCTTCTCCTGCTCAGTATATTACCACTTTTTACTGACCACTCCCAAGAGTAAACTACTTGGATCTGACTTATCAATTCTCCGCTCTAGCTCCTATAAATTTCCTCCTCAATAATTTAAGAGAATTTGATGACTTATCAAGACAACACCCTTCACTTGATATGCGTGTCGATTCTCACCACCTGTTTCCTAGATAATGCATTGAAATCGTAGGGAGAAATTAAATGTAAATCACTCATTGTTCAAAGTACCTGGACCATTAAGAGCATTCTGCACTAAGACAAGCGCTGCCAATACGTCCTAAAATCAAGAAACAATTTTTTTAATTAAGTTAAAAGAAGAAACAAAAATTGATAGCGTGCCCAAGCATAAACAACAGCAATTTCTCAAGAAACTCTAAATTTCAGTCATCAAATCAATTTTCCATAGAGCAGATCGTTTTCAACGAACTTCAAGTTTATGCTTTACATAGCCACACCCTGTAAAGACGCCCGATGTTAATTCAGTGATAGCACGTCTCTATATGCCTTGATTCTAGTCTCTCGAAGATCCGTTGACTGTTCGAATGACTGTTACTTACGCCGCAAAAATTCAAACCTGATCAACAACCGGTCGTCGAGGCAACTTGGATCTCTAAACGATTACCTTCTTTAAATGGATATCTTAGTGTTGAATCACACAGATTTGTTACAGGGAATTAAAAAAATAAAGCCACTAAGAGTAAATGGCTTTTGACTCTACATTGAAGAATCCAATGGGGTTTTTTCGCGCGTGCGAAGTTATCTAGCGCAGGAAAAAACTTGTCTTCGCGTTTCAAAGCAAAAAGAAAGTTGTAAGATGCTGAACTCACAAGTCGTTTGTCTGTGTATTTCTTGTCGGCTGCAATACGTTTCTGTAAAATAACAATATTGCAATCTTAGTACAAATGCAAGTGGCTGTATATGAAAACTTTCGGACCTTAACTAAAACCTTTGCAGACAAAGATATCTTTCAAAAAGACTTTTTGACTACTTCCTATAAGTAGAACGTCTTATCTGTGGAATGAAGACATTAATCACTTAAAGGCGCATAACTTGCCACGATAAAAGTCTATGCAACAGCCACATGTACAGAACACATACCTCTGCGGTGTTAATACAACAGCCATATGTATAGTACACCTACCTTAACGGTGTCAAAGCAACAGTCACGTGTACAGTACACATACTTTAACGGTGTCAATATAACAATCAATTGCACAGCACACCTCCCTAAGCAGTGTCAGTACTTGTACCTTAGCAGTGTCAATACAACAGACATGCACAGTACACCAACCTTAGTGGTGGCAATACCACAGTCACATGTACAGTACACGTACCTTAGCGGTGTCAATACAAGCTAATGCCATGAACGTCAAATGTTGGATCATGTGGTTGACACTTTCTGCTATAAGCATACTGCGCCGATGAAACGTGTGCTCGATGGCCTACAGAGAAAGACAGAAGAACTTGACGGTGCACTGCAATGATTGTTCAAGGACAACCCAAGAAGGCGGGTAACCATGCTCAATCTAAATATTACATGAAATTATCGTAAATTTCGTGGGTTTTGATCACTTTCCACGTTTCGAAATCCTAAAACATCACTCAATGATAATGACATCAACTCCCGATGAGCATGAGACGAAGAAAACTCCAAGTGCCGTGTGAACATTTAAACTCCTGCTAATTGAAGTTCCCATTTCTTAGTGAGATGGTCTTCAACCTGAGCTACGGAAAACATCTTGGCGAATCTCTCTAATTGAAGACTTACAAGCTAAATTACCTTCCCAAGAAGTCAAAGGTGCACTCACGCTCGTACAATTTATTTTGTTTCGTGTATTTCTGGTTTTTCATCGTCAACTTCTTTATTAACTTTGATTAAGGAGCCGGAGAAAATGCTAGTGACTGAGTTCCTGGTCAATGTTATATTTTCAATTCTTCCCTTTACACTCACAGCTTAAGGGAAACACTTACTGTAGTCTTGCAAATGCAGAGGCTCTTACCTTTAAAAGCTCTGTGAGCCTGCACAAGGCCATTACACACGACTTGGTCAGCGGTTTAGATAACACCAGATGCAGATTCATGATAGTGCGCACCAAGTGACTCACAGTGTGCGCTATAAGGACACCCTGAAATAAGTGAAATATTGGGAAAAAGCATTGCTTGTTCCAGTATTCTCTCAAACGTAATTTATCAAGAACTGAGGTTTCTTTGGTCGAGCTTTCAGCAAGAATATTTTGAGGCCTGTGCAAACCACTCTTAAAAAAATAACTCACTTTAGTCATTCTCCAAAATCTTGAACCAAAGCGAGTTTCCAAAAGCGTGCGATTTCCTACACGTTAAATCTTTAACCCTTAAGATTGACTAGCATCTAATTTCTCCTTACCATGACAGTCCCACAACTCACATTAAGGTCATGAGAATGACGCAAATGATCACCGACTAAAAAAGCTCTGGATTGTTTAACAAATTCTCCTTGTCAGCACCTCAGGAAATGTAAGAGAACACTATGGAGAATATGAAAGTGATCGGTTAGAAGATGGAGCTAACAGGTTCACAAGGTACCTTAATAAACAGAACACATCGCGTGTTAAGATCATCGACTAAGGTGCCTCCCTTGTTTAGACTGGACTCCATGTGAACCATCCATGAACTGACTTGCATCTGGTACAGCTGTGCATCTCTGAGAAGAAAAACAAAAGCATCACGTATTTGAAAACAGTATTTTGACATCAAGCTTGAAACGTGAAGGTCTTACGTCAGCAAGTAGAACTCTGCATCAAAGGATATGGGTTCAAATCCTAACTGAGTCATTGTGTTGTGATCTCAGGAATGACACTTAACGCTCTCAGCTATATCCTCTCAAGAAAAAATTAATACCAGCAAACTTTCGGGAAATATGACAAAACCTGGAGTGTTACGAGCCCATTCAGAAGGAGTAACAATAATAATATAACATTCAAACGTCTATACATGTGGGAATTTTTATAACTAAGTCGCGTGCTTTTATGGTGTACGAACCAAGTTGTCGAACACGTGTTGTTAACAACTAAACAAACCATTAAGTCACGGTGTTTAAAAACCGTATAAATTTTTTGGTGAAGCTCAAAACAAAGTGGTAAATGAACATGAAACCAGTAATTAAATGAACTTGTGCACGAAAAGTCTTGAGTTGTCCTTCAACTTATTTTTGTTACCTTTTATAAATTTCTTTGAACGTTTCAATATTTCTGTGAAAAGTTTGCGTGACCGCGGTTGCAATTTTGCGCGGGAAATTAGCGCACGGCCGGTCAAAATTGATCTCCTTGCGCATGCCCTACATTTGACCGCTGTCTTAGTAATACTCCCAACCAATTAATTGCAAACTCGTACCAAAACGTATTTGAAAATAAATTATCAAAAAAAGTAAGTTAATTTTCTCCCACCTGACCAAGTTTTGATTACAGTTCGTCAAATACTGCTCCTTAGAAGATTCCACAGCTTGCCTCTGTTTCTTGTCCACAATCTTGCTGAGGTGAGGAATTCTTCGAAGGAGAAATTCATTTGGAAAGAACATAATGTCCCCAACAAGATGCACAGCTGGGACCTGAAAAAAATAATTGTTCAAATTCCACCATCAAAACCTTAATTTTCAAAATACGAAAAATCGAGTAAAAAGACTTAAAGAAAAGGAATACATCAGATGTTTATAAAAGAGAAGATTGGAGGTTTGTCACTTTTACATCAGAGACAATGATAAACATAATCAGATAATTGAACTAGATACTTCATTTGCCGAGTAGCAATCCAAACGGATGCTAGCTGACAAGTACATGTATGTATTTTCACTAAGTAGCGTTTATTACGTAACAGTGTACATGAAAAAATTACGCGCTTCTGATTGGCTGAAAAAGAGTGCATTCTCATGTAACACGAGTGCAAAGTTGTGACACGAGTTTAAATTACAAATAACGCGCACGCTTTCAAAATTTCGTCTGTTTTGACTTTCTGTGATGTTTTTTCCTTGGAAATTGTTAACGAGCAATAACATAATTTCTCATCCAATTTGGTGTGATAAGCAATTATAAATTTTTGAAAGACTACAAATTGCACTTGCCCTACGGGCTCGATCGTGCAATTTTTTGTCTTTGAAAAATTTCCTCCTGCTTATTAACAGCAAATTGCAGTCGCAATAAAGGTTATTACTTTTACTTATCCAAGATGATTCTAACTTTGAAGTCTGTGGATAAAGCCCTTGTGGGTGATCATTCAAGTGAGAACTACTGAGCAGAAATTTCATGTAGTACTGTTTCTTATGGTCTACATGATGGTTTTAAATTTTAAGCCTGTGAATGAGAAACTTTCTTAAGTGTGTGACCAGGCAATTGAAAGCTACCCAGCTTGCAGTGCTTTCACGTGCTTCTGTCAGTAATTCAGTTACTGTACAGCATGGATCAAGTCTAAACCCTACCTTTTTATGAATGTCCCAAAACTTGCTGAAGAACCTTCTGTCAATGCCCTTGTATATCTGATGTTGCAAGATAAACAAGCCGAGCAGACCAACAATCTTATGGCGCTGATCAACCTCATGAGGCTCGTCTGAAAACAAAACCAAAAAATAAGAGAACAAATAAATCAGCATTTCCTTAAAAAAATTGCAGGCAAAACATTAAAAGGAAAGAGCACCTCTTACTATAAAATTATTGGGAATTGTTTTTAGTACTTACTCATTCTTGTATCAAGACTTTGAAAGATGACTTTGATATTGAACAGGAATTCCTCCCCAAATTCATTATTTCTGGCCACTCTCACAAACTGACCATCAAATGGCTGCTCAATACAGTTCTGAAATACATTTACACCAAAAAATATTAAAGGAAAGTCAGCTTGTAAACCAGAGGATCATCCTACTGCAGCTCATCTCATTTTCAGTGACTAGGATTAACCTCACCCCCCTGAGATGTTGGTCCACTGCACCCCTCCCCCCCCCCCCTCCAAAAAAAAAAAGGCTTCCCTGACGGTCCACTAACACTTACATCACGTTTGTGCACCTGGCTGGAGAGATGCACTGTGAGGGTAAAGTGTCTTGCCTAACAAGTACCTGGTCACTTCACTGACACAACAACTTGCCAACAACCAACTCAGCAACTCTATCAACAAACTACCCAACAGATCAACTCACTTCGATCAAATCACTGGTATACCAAAGCTATTGGCAAGTTGACAATGACAAGTTGATCAGAAGTGTTGGTGAATTGACCACACTGAAAGGGGTTTATGAGTTGACTAACAGTGTCTGCAAGCTGGTTGTAGGTGAGTTGACATGTCAGCAAAGTGACTGGTTACAACCCAAGAAAACAACACAATTATTGAATTGTGGCAGACCTTGAAGCAATGAGGCCATGTACTGACAACCTCTTACACAAAGTAACAGAAGAATTATTTTAGTAATTCTCTTTATTATCCATCATACAATCCAAGGTCAGTGGTTACTTCTCTGTACCTGCAAAATAACACCATCAAGGAGCTGTCCTTCCAAACTCATAAGAAGTTTTTCAAGTCGCCGAAGCTTTGCCTCTTCAATCCCAAACAAAGCAGTATTGTTGTGCACTGATTTTAACATTCTATAAGTTAAAGAAAAGTCTTTATGCATATGAAAATCAGGCATGCATCTCATAGATATGGAATAGTTTTGCAGAGAAGCTTATTTACATTGAAATTATCGTTGCAACACCAGTAAATGTACTGACACAATCGAGTAAAGGACTCAGGTCTCACTCACTGACTTACAGAATCTTTGACTCAGATTCACTGACTCACTGCCTGATTGTCACTGACTCACTGCCTGACTCCCTGACTGATTGACCGACTGACTAGTAACTGACTGACTGACTGACTGACTGACTGACTAATCTAACGACTGACTGACTGAGTGACATACTCACTGACTCACTGAATAACTGAATGACTGATTAGCTCTGACTTACCAACTCACTAACTGACTTGCTGACTAACAGACTGACTGACTGACTGACTGTCTAACTGGCTAAATGACTGACTGTACAAGTAACTGACTGACTGACTAACTCTTTGACCCAGATTTCACTGACCAACTGACTGACCAACCAACCATATGAAGTGACAAACAAGGCAAGTTACCTCCTGTATTGCTTCCAGTGTTCCTTCAGAGTGTGACTGGCATCCATAATCTCATCCAAAGTGATCAGCACTCCCAGTAGTCCAGCAAGATGTTCAAAAACAGTCTGTCAAAATGGGAAACATCTTAGAAAAATGATGATCACGTGAGCCAATAATTTCACTTCATTTCAAACAGATTCATACTCCTTTACCTGCCTGATACATTGAGCAATTATCAAATAATAGAAAAAAGTAATAAAGGTGATAATCAATGTGTAGAAATAACATCACAAATACCATAAAAACCAAAACTAAAACAAGGGATATGGGAATTTTTTTTGGTCATACTGTACACCCTAACAGGAGCCTTTTGACCACTAGGAGAGACTGCCATAGCATCAAATTTCTCCACAAAATATCACCCTTGAATTAACCATTCAGGTCACAAGAACAAATAAAAGAAATGATTATCAATTAGAAAAGTTCTTGATTATTAAACAAATTCTCCTTTTCAATACCTTAAGAGATGTATCAAGAACTGTATGGAGAATCTACATATTGATCCTAGGGTATAATTAGTTAAAATGAAGGGAAAAACTCCTTACTGTAAAATGAACTCCAGTCACATCCATCACTTTAGGACCCTCTCTGAAAAGAAAAAAGAAAAATGCTTGTGATTTCTTCACACATTTTGCATGGTGTATGAAACATTGAGGAAAGGTGCAGAGCAACTTATGAAACTATAAATCTCACTTTGAATGTAATGAAGCTAACTGCTGGATCACGTTCTTGACAACCTCATATGCCCGTGTCACAAAACTGGAGATATCTTGTAGCAGGGGTAACATTCTTCCAAGACGAACTTGATTGTCTCCTTCTTGCACCTGTTCTTTATCTGCTCCTGAAATTAAAAAAAAATTACAGACTAAGTAGTGTAAGGGGGCACTGTAGGACATAGCCAATCAGATTCTAGGATTTTGTACCACATGGTACACATAACCCAATCATATCTTGGATGACAACCTGGCCATCTGATTGGTTAATGTGTACAAAACAATACAAAATCTTGAAATAGAACAACAAGTTTAGAGGATCTTTGTCCAATGTGTTGATTATGCACATGCACAGTGAAATCCCTTATAATCACTGACATCATCTTTGAACATGCTGTGCACACACAAGGGGGTCAATTCCCTGTGTGGCTTTCTAATTTACCCACACCATTTCAAAAGAAAACAGGAGAAACAACCACTATAACACAAAATATGCAAAAACATGAAACAACTTATGAAATTTGTAAAAGGAAATAAAAGTCAGAAAAGGAAAACTAAAGAATATTCACGCACAAAGCTAATTTAATTACAGGTATCCTGTGGATTTGCCATTTGATTCGAGCTCAATCAAAAAGTTATATGGTTTTCAAACATAGTAAATTGCTGGCTTGCGTGGTTGTTTATAACTCCTTGAGGACAACTTGGTTCTGGCTCCAGGTGTTGTACATCATAGTATGATCAATATCTCATCATAATCTTGATTTTCAACACAATTAGAACTTACAGCTTCAAAAAACTGGCCCTTTCTACTATGACAAATCTTGTTTGTTATATTTACTTAATTTCCTTCCCTCACATACCTGCTTCTTCATAGAGCAGCAGAGGAGTGAAGAACTTTGTTGTGGCCTAAAACATTCAAAAGTTTTTTTGTTTTCAATTTCTCATCATTATTTTTGAGAAAGAAATGATGTAAAAGAGTACTACAAAAAAAACAAAAAATCATATTTATTACTTGTAGCAATTAAACAGAAATAATTACAATCGCATAAAAAATATAATTAAAATGCCACCAATACAATGCTCGCATAAGGCCGCAGGATGTATTTTAGAAAAACTTGAAGCTAAATACTGGAAAATGAAATGATACCTGAATACCAAATCCTTATTTGATGGTTTCACTTACAACACAGGCAATTATTTTGCTAGTTGCAGAAAATTTTTCCAAGCTCCATTGAGGTTAGGAAAAATATAAGCTATGATTACAAATGGTTCTCACCTCATGCTTCAGCTGATCCATTTCCCGACAAAGAGATGCAAACACCATTATCACTTTGTTAAAGACCTGCAAAAGAAAATTATAATTAGTTTTTGTACATGTATTACTTAGCCATGCCATTAAAATGATTAGGTAAAAATATTAAATAATTTGTGATATGAATTCTCACTGGGAACTCAGATCTTTTCTTATTAACAAATTTCTTTAACAATTTTAATACTAATACGAAACAGCATCATCAACATCATCATCATTATCATATTCGTAATAGTTATTTTATTACAAGTTGTTTTGTGCACATTTATCCCATAAAATGTTCAAATGTGCGCAAGGCTGATCAGATATTATGAGTACATTAAGTCTCCTAATAAAAATCTGCATGTTACAATCTGTGCTACAAACGTAATAATGCATATAAAGGGATTGCACACTTCTGATTGGCTGAAAACATGTGCATTTTCATGTAACACAATGCAAAGTTGTAACACGAGTGCAAAATTGAAACATGAGTGCAAATTTGCAAATAGCACACACATGCCTTTAAAATGTCATCTGTCTTAACTTTCTGTGATGTTTTTCCATGTATATTACTAGCAAGTAATAACATGATATCTCTTGCAATTTGGTGTAATAAGCACTTGTCAATTTTTAAGAGACTGCAAATTACACTTGCCTTACGGGCTCATGCAATTTTGTAATTTTTTACTGAGGCTTATTAACATCAAATCGCCCTGGAAATCATGTCATTACCTATACTAACAAAATGCTAAAAGCAAAACAAACCTTGTTCTCTGTCTTGATGAGTTCCAACATCCTTGACTGCTCGTACGGCAGAGTCTAATTCAAAAGAAAGCACTGTCATTTCTAAAATTGTTCCCCTTTCCACAATATATCTAAGTTCAAATCTGGGCTAAAAACAATTCTTCACGATTTTAGGGGTATTGATTCAAATTACTCTTCTCTCTTTAATACCCAGTATTAATCAAAACTATTATGAAATTCTCAAATGTGGTTGGTTATCACCAGCCTGATTTGAGCACTAATAGAACAGTGTATGCATCATGATTGTAATTAAACAGTGTAACAGGACAGTTCACACCTTACACCTATGTGAGTGGACAGTATGTATATGTGTCATATGCGTGCATTCTTGTCATGCAAAATTGTTTTTTTAATGAAAATGTAAAGAAGATGGTAAGACAAGTGTTTCGTCAAATTTTGTTATAGTTTTGATTAATTGGTAACAAGACTTTGTGTTGTCCAACTTGGGCTGATATCATACTAGTGATTAATAAATCAGACTCCCACTTTGAAGTCTTCTGATTGTGTAGATCACAGACCAAATTGGACTCCACTCAGACCTATTACTATTATGAATTTCAATTAACCCGTTTAGCAGCCAATCAGTTTCTTGAAAACTTGTCAAGATAATTAAGCAGGCTATCTCATTGACTGTTTGCTGGATAACGTATTCAACTCGTTCTTAATAAGATATAGGGCCTCAGTAGATGTAAGAGTGAAGGGGGGGGGGGGTGCTAAGATATAAATGAGGAGGGGCGGGTGAGGTGGTGGTATCCGGGTCGGAATATATGGGCATGACACTTGCGGAGTAAATAAGATTTTGATAACTCAAGGACGATAACAACATATATCTTAAAAAATATATCATTTAACCATCTCCGTAATTTTCTACTCACTTGCAACGCAATGGGATCAAGACTGAAATCCCACGAGTCTCCAACAGAGTCGTCCAAGGCATCCTCGATCGCCTTGAGCTGTGAAGCGTATTCCTCCAAAAATTGGCCGTATTTTTTCAACTGCGCTTCGCCGACGAGTTCTGCAGGGAATAAATCCTTGTTAACTAATTTTTCGACTTATACTGGTGTCAATTTAAAGTGTTAAAACTTACTCAATGAACCGTCGTCGAAGGCATCTAAATGCCATCCTTCCTCCATCTTGGAATAGTCACGTGACGATGAATGAGTCGTAAATGTTGTCATCATGTTTTTCAGTTTTCCCACCGGGGGAGTCTCATACGCAATTCTTGTCACAGCACTTTTGCGAAAGCAAAAGAAGACATATTGCACTTGAATAATCTAATATCTAGCCTAATAATGAAATATTTAGTTTATAAGTCTCTAAAAGTAGAATAAATTGGGATGTAAGAGTCACTTTAACTTGTACTTTTTAAATAATTTAACCTCTCCCCCGAAAGACAGAAAATGACATCTCAAACTTCAAAGTTTGGCCTGGTTACCTGAGATGTCAACATGTCGGCCGCGCGAAGAACAAGGAAACGAAAACAGTCTGAATCTGAAGTCCCATTTGCCGCAGGATTTCGTCTTCCAACATTAAAACAAAGCAGAAATGCAATAGGATTATCTAAGATTCCAAAAATTTACGATCCAGGACCAGAAAGTGCTTATTTTCGACGTATTCCGCAGCCACTCTCCGAAGATGATTGGCTAGTGCAAAACAACGAGGAAGGACAGTCCTTTAAAAACTTTTTGAGGACCTGTCCTTGGATCTCAGGTCGCAAAGTGAAATACACGAGGCAAAAGTTTATTTCCGATGGAAAAAATCTCAAGCAGAGATACCCAGATGGAAAAATTTACTTACAACCTCTGGGCGATTTTGATCAAAGCTGTTCGAACAGTTGTAATCCCGGCATTGATGACTTAGCTGACTACACAGAACGTTTTTATTCGTTGCCTGTTGTTGTATTACCAGCAGTGAAGCTTAAGCTTCCCACAAAGAAAGGTAATGGTGTGAAGCTGTTGTAAAATTGTGGATCGCTGAATGTGCCTTGGTGTAAACATATGAAAGTCCTCTCTGCTTCTAATGTAGAAAACATTGATAGCAGGGAGGACGAGACGAGACACTCGTGCTACTAGAAACGAGACGAGACCAGTGGCTAGCATGCCTGACCTCCAAAGAGCTTTCCTTTGCAGGTGATTTGGCATACTGGAATTATGGATTGAACGAACTAGTTACCTCATCAAGTGCATCGCGGACAAGCTCAAGAGTACAGTTAAAACAGCTTGAACTCAATCATCGTTGGTCTCATGGTATGTCACAATTATCTGTTTTTTCTTTGTCGTGACTGGCCAGCAGAGCAGTGGTATGTCATCTGAGGGCATGCATGACATCTTGAAGGAAGCATGTTATCATTTTCCTGATCACCTTGCAAGATGAATGAAAGATTGGTGACCTGGGTATAGGGCTTCTCCTTCCAACCCCCACCTTCCTCTATCAACTGATAATTCTTTCATACTGTGAAAATTCAGCCTAGTAAAAGGCAGAGGCCCATTCTGCAGAGAAAAAATGAGCATTATTTGTCCACAAAAAATATGTTAGCACTGTATAATGAGGTGTGCTGAGTGATTTGTAATTGGTTTAACAATTAACATTGGCTTCTCCACTAGGGCATGTACAACTAAGGGTAGACAGCATCCACAGGCTTCTGCAGCAACAGATTACTGGCGATGCTCTCTGTCTAATTGGTCTCACCATGGTAGACCTGTATGAGGACAAATCTGACCTGTTTGTGGCAGGGCTGGCTGCAGGAAATCAAAGAGTTGCCGTGAGTGGGTATTATGACATAACTATGCATTAGATTTGTCATGGAGGTATGACCTATTGACCCTAGAAGTGATTAACATTCATCTTCTTCTCACAATCTTACTTAACCTAGCAAAAGGTACCAATGATTGGCAAATATAACTGCAAGAAGTGTATGTTCATGTACCTTGGTATAATATCAGATTTCCTCAGAGACATTTAGGATGGGATCCAGGAGTTTTTGATAGGGGGGTATGCAAGCTTTGTTTTGGAAAACAAAAGATTTTTTCTAAGCTATAACTTAAATGAGCTGAAAAATATTTCAAGATCTGTGGATTTGAAATTCTTCATATTGACTAGTAATTTGCAATCTTGTTGTAGTGAGAATTTTGGTGTCAGACAAGAAGAAAAGGGAGGTTCTGGAACCCCTGGGACCTTCCTCCTGGGACCTCCCCCCAGGGACCTCCCCCCTGGGACCTCCCCCTGGATCCATTACTGACACTGAAATTTCAGGCACATGTTGCACCAATTAGCTAAAATTTTTGGATCCTACCTCACTAAATAACATGACATAGTGTGGCCCTGTGTGTAACTTTTAAAATGTTGTACCTCCTCACATCAGATTATTCCCTTCAGGTTTTTAGTTTTGCGCGGTATGATCCATCTTTGTCATTCTCCACTGAACACTGGTATGACATCTCACCATCCAAACAACTTGATCCACTCAAGAAGAAGCAGATAATTCTACAGGTACTGATTGCCAGGAAAGTTATATAATCCTTAACCCTTTACACTCTAACATCAGGATGCATATTCTCCATACTGTTCTCTAAACATTTCCTAATGTGCTGACTGGGAGAATTTGTCAAACAATCAAGAGCTTCTTTAGTTGGTGATCACTTCCTTTATTCTCCTGACCCCAATGTTTGATCCAGGGGTGATAAAGACCCAAAAATGGGTCTTGAATACGTTTCACGACAATCCTAACTCCAGTCTTCATAAATAGTTGAACAAGACGTCGATCAACTTTGGCCCTGAAATGTCAACATTCCGTCGCGTGGCGTCAGAAGCAAGAATCAAAACCCAACCCTAATTTCAGATCCTACATTTCGTGCAACGAATCTGCTCGGCTTTTCGTTGTAGATGACGTAGAAGTAAGACATCTCTACCCTGACTTTTTAAGAATACTTAGACAACAATGCGCAAGTTTTATACTTGAATTATAGTCACTGTGGTTACTTTTCACAGAGAAGTTGTAAATTATTGGTACATGAGATTGCACACCTTTTCGGAGTAGAGCACTGCATCTGGTATGCCTGCTGTATGAATGGTTCAGGTCACCTTGCTGAAGATTTCGGTGAGTTTTTTATCAAATAATTTGACTTTACAGTCAACATTTTCCATGATAAACAGCTTTGGCGTTTTCTCTGTAACTTCTCTGTGCCTGTAACTTGGTTTTCGTTTTGATTTTGATCGGTTGAGAAGTGGTTTTCTGAGGCTAATCGCAGAACGTAACTAATTAAAAGGGACGAATTCAGAAATATAAAACTTTCCCCAAGATTGTAATTTTTCCAAAGATGGCTACCTGATGACACGATTGAATCTGAGGCAGAATGCATTGATGTTCTCGACTTCAGTTGGTAAACAAGAGAATATTAAACGAGGCGCGATCTTAACGCGTGAAAGACGCGTTCTTGACGCGACACGACCCGAACCTCTTCCGTTTTACGATCTGCGCTTTAATCGGGCCCATTTGCTTATTGAACGCTTGGAAAAGTAACTTTCATAGACGAATGATGATGAAATTCTTGTTATGGTTTATTTTTATTTATATATTTTTTTTCAGCTCAACCAATTAACCTTTGTCCTGTTGATCTCCACAAACTACAACAACTGTGCGGTTTCGACATTGTTGATAGGTATCAAAAGGTATTGAGTTTTTCTTTTTCTTTTTTATACTTGTGGGAAGATACGACCAGGGGAACTACATGTAGAGTTGGCCACCGTAAAGAGTTGAAAAGCTGACGTTTCGAGCGTTAGCCCTTCGACAATCGCTCCAACGAAAGGCTAACGCTCGAAACGTGAGCTTTTAAACTATTGAAGGTGGCCAATTTACATTGTTAACTCAGTTAATAATACTAAATTACCTTGTTATACTCCCCCACCGACGCAGCACCACAGTGTCTTTAGAAACTTACCTCCTTTATACAAATAGAGCTGGTTGTTCATGTTTTGTGGTCACAACTTGACCGCAGTTTTTTAACCATCACATGTTCCGCTCACGTGACGAGCTTTTCGGCAATCGTACTGTTTCCGTCTTGTTTTCTAAATGGCCTTTAAGAGTCAAAAATCGTTCGGCTGCTTCAACGACAATTTACCGAAAACCAAGCGACGCTTTCCGACAAAATTTTACATGGAACCCTCTGTTACGATACTTTTACGGCTTGCAAAAGTATCTTAAGGTTATCGAACACTACAAAATATTAGTTTGGTAAGATTTGAATGTAAAACAAATAAATAAATAAATAAATAAACCACGAGCGAAGAAGTATGGCTCGAGATGGAGGAATTCAAACAGATTATCCACGGTGAACCTGGTCAAGGAAGAATCTTTCAAAATGCGCCAATTTTGATGTGGTTCATCTATGTTATTTAATTAATATAAGTCAGCGTAAGAAAGCACAATATTAGTTGCTGCGGGATTACGCAAGTAAATTAATCAGTTGAAATTAAAATCTTGTTTCTTAGGGCGACAATTTTTTTATTGAATGTTTAAGAAGGCTGCCTTTTCTTGTCAAGAATTATTGTCTTAATGTATTTTCTTTTATAGCTACTTGAGTTTTTCAAGAAGCATAAAATGGTAGAAGAAACGCGATGGTTTGAGTCAAGACTGGCCTTTATAAATGAATCTGAAGGTAGATAAACAAGAGGGAAAACCGGCCTGACTTCGCAACTGAAGACAAAACGTGCCACGAAGAAAGAAGACACACTGATATTAATAATGATATTGTTTGCGTCAGTTGAAATAAAAGTTGCTGTTATTTATTTCAATGTCAAATCGTTAAGCTCAGTCTTTTCCCCACACTTTGACACCTAGACTTCATGTCAGGGTTTTGACGCTCGTTTAAAATTATCATCAAATATCAATTCCTGTTTCAAATCTTTCTTTAACAATTTCGAACAAAGCATACATTCGTATTATTTAATAATTATTTCAAACTTCTGTCAAAAGCCAGAAAGGAGTTTAATATTTACTTTTTAAAAGGAAGACGAGGATGGCACCGAAACACCGACGAAATAAAAATCCGTTACGGCTGGAAAAGCAAACGGGTTTCCTTTGTTTACCTTAAACATTCGGTATGGTGTGGTATATTTCGCTCTGACGGAGGCTAACACTCGAAACATCAGCTTAGAAACTTTGTATGAAGGACAATTAACATTATCAACTCAGTTGATAAAACCAAAATTTTCTTGCAATATCCCCCGCTAACGCTACAGCGTATTTCAGACGACTTTTTATAAAATGGATTATGAAGGACTATATCGATTAAAGGCATGTATTGATTAAAACCAGATGCTTGCAAAGGTGGTATTTTATAAGTTACTCTAAGAGTCTTCTTGAACAAGTTGTTTAGACAAACAAAGCAAAAAAACGAACAGTCAGATTTTTTCTTACTCTTCAGTCTCGCCACCTGATATTTACATGTCATGGATAATTTGCGAATCATCGAGGCGACCCCTCAAGGCCTCATTACGCGAGCCTGGTTTGATTTGTTGCCCGGGTTAAATCACCGCAAAGTGTCCTAAAAATAACAGTCCACCTCACATGAACCCGAGCTGCCAGTCTGCATGAACATGTGGTTCTCTTCGAGATTTACTCGGGTCAGCCTTTCCACCGACGAAAACATTGTCAAATAATATTGACTATAAAGTAACAAGACGTCCATTATGACGAAATGGTGCTAGGTCAGGATTTAGAAACAAAGATAGTATTAAAAGCACAGAAAAAATGTTTATTTGGGTGAAAGTGCCAACAAGAAGTAAAGTTGACTTGAGGAAAAAATGGGGAAAATTCACCCATTCTAGGCGGGTCAACCAGGCTCTAGGCAAGGGTTACACGGCAAGGAGAGCAGGCCCGGTTTGACTACTTTTGTCATTTAAAGGCGTACAAATAAAAAATATGACTCTGAAAGGGTTACCCCTTGCTGGGATTTAATCGAGGGTAAAAAGCAACCCGGGGTTGTGTAAAGAGGTTCTTGATCCAAGCCCTAGGATTTCTAGAGGTCTTCCCCCACATTTATATTATATAAAGTTTTAGTTTTAAAAACATTATGATTATGTTTTTAAAACTATTCTTTGAAAAGTTTAAAGTACTGAATGAACTTGAGCTTGAAGCTTGAAGTTGGACTTGGACTTGATTATGTCGTGTTTGGTTCTTTCGTGATCAAAACAGTGAAAAATTGGAAAGATTTCTATAGCACCCCAAACTGATCTTCGACAAAGCATGAGCCCCAAAGGTAAACTGTTATTTTATCCTTTGTTCTGTTTTTTTCCTTATTATTTTTATCAAAAACAAATAATGAGTAATGCATAATGAATATCCTCAATGAAGAATGGGTTAAAACGAAAATCTTGCGTAAAAATTCAAAGTGTGAAGCTCCAGGAACCTTCATCAGTTTTAATTAAACAATATATATCAGTGCAATTCAGAAATCTTTCTTTCCTTCATTTGTTAGCTTTTGTCAGTTAATTGATGGACCGACCTTCCGCTTACGAACATGAAATAAACGCCTCTCGTCTGATGTCGATATTTCCGACATATCACAAGACACAGCGGTCACAAATACTTCCGTGATGATGCAGAACTAAAAGCTGATAGTACGACAGCCTAATAAAACTACAAATTTAAAAGTATATTTAAAAATCACGCATGTACTTTTTTCACTCCAAGGTTTATTTTTGGTGCGATAACAGGCCGCTGTCTAGGGATGCGACCACGCTCCGCCTCAATAGAGTTCCTTCTCAATGACCGAAGCCGAGCAAATGGCAGAAACAGAACCTACCTTTTTTACCGAGACATTGGTCCAAATTAACGCTGCTTTCCTGTGCTTTTAAATCATAGTTTCCTGTTTTCGACACAATCAAACTCTTGCACAAAAGCCCCAAGACGCAAGTCCTAAATAGGATGATCAAAGACAAAAAGGATTCATCCGTTCTTGTTACTAGCTCATTAATTTCTTACACAGCGAAACTTGTGAAAATTTATCTTTGCCTCAGAAATCTGAGCCCTTTCCTTTATTTCTCTAGTTTGTTTTCGTTCTTCTTATTGTCGTAGAACACGGTTTTGGAAGGAAGTTTGACAATCAAATTAAAGCTTTCGAAATCTTTATTTGGGATTTTTTAATTTAATAAGCCTTAGTAGAAATAAAGCCTTGACATTCCGTGAGTTGTTCGGTAACCCTTCCACTGAGACACACTTGAGGCCTGAAGTTTACGACGGAATCGCTCAAGGTATGACGTTAAAAGTGCAACTTAGATAAATTATATCATGACGCTGTCAACATAAAAGCATAGTCAATAAAGAAATTCAGACCTAAAATCATGATAAGATTCCACAACCATACCTTCTAAGAAACATTTTCTCCATTTCCTACATTTTGACTAGTTTTTAGGTGGAGCTAATAACCAGACGATAAAATTCAACATTTTCAAATGTTTTTTCAACGCATGCATCGGAAAGTTTTTTTTTCTTCCAGAAAAGAAGTTCCCTACACATCAATGGCTAACAAGATTTTCTCCCTTGTAACAGCTGTAACTGACGGGTTTTCGTTTCGTTCTGTGAGGGTGGAAATCGTTTACAGAATATAAAATACTGTGAAAAACGTTCGTTTGGCACCAAATAACTAACTACCAAAGGTCTCCGAAACTCAGGTTTTAATAACAAAACTTTCTTACTCGCTACCAAAATCTGAAAACGTCCTCGAGACGTTATTTACGAGGTAAATTTTAGCCCACGTGAAGCCATAACTTCCCCCCTAGGGTGAAACTTAGGTCATCAAGCGCTCAACCTTTTCAATGCATGAAGTTTAGTTCATCATACCAAGGTAAATTTACTAATCAAGAGCCAAAATATACAAAAAGCTAAGAAAAATTTGAGTGGATGTTTGAGAGCCTGGTGAAATGGCCGATCCATTCGAGAACTCTGGAGAGCCTAAACAGAATTATTTCAAGACGTTTTCTCATCAAGTAAATGTAGCTTCGTTGATCATTATAAAATTCATCAAAATAGTGAACGGATTCAGTTTTTTATAGTCTAGTCGATGATGTTTTGGCTGTGAAAAGCGTTGTATGAGGAGAGTGAAGGTTTAGAATCTCGGGAAGTGATGCGCACTGCGCATAAAACGCTTTGAAGTACCTCTCAAGCAACGATACACGAAACTTGTTTGTTTGTTTGTCTTGTTTTGTTTTGCAATATGGTTCAAGAGTTAACTTACATCTGCAAAAATTTCCCTTAAAAAACTGCATACTACTCAATGCTGTCTGGCCAAAGTTACCCGCACAGTTTTGTAAAGAACCATGAGTCTATAGATATGGCGCTACAGAAATCTTTCAATATCGATCATCATCATTATTATTATCATAACTGAAATTTGAATCACTACGCTGGGTTCGTGGTCGACTTTCATTTCAATTGAGTGTCAAAGGTCATGTGGAATTTTATTGCATTTCCCTTTTTGGCGATGTAGAAGACACGCGTCACCATCTCAACTAATCAGATGCTAAGCTAAAACCAATAGCGACTTGTTAAGATCTAACTTTTTTTGCACTTTCCGTCTGCTGTTTTTTTTTTATCTGATTGGCTAAAGTGACTTTTCTCGGCTTTGGTGTTTCGAGATTTAAGCTCTTGTTCATCATTTTCCTCTTAATACATTTCTGGTGTCTCTCAGTTGCGGATGCTATGTTCTCACTGTGGGTCATAGCTATTCTTGCGCCATCCTCGGCACAATCGCCTTTGACATCATCGCTGTCTACACTGACGCCATCGCCATCAACTTGGCCATCTTCAGCATTGTCAGCTTCATCATCAACCCCTCCATCGCCACCTCAAGAACCGCAAATTATCCGGCCACGACCGATTATCCTTCCACCAGGACCATTATCGGCACAAGTAACATCACTGCTATCTTCCCTGACACTGTCGCCATCGTATTCAAGATCGTCCCCAGCTTTACTGTCAGCTTCATTCTTATCCACACCATCGGCTACTCAAGAACCGCAAATTGTCCATCCACGACCGATTTTCTTCCCACCACTTCCACTTCCCGTAGCGTTACTGCCACAACATTCTTCTCCGACTCTGACCTTATCCCATGCACCACCGTCCTCAGTATTACTCTCCACTTCATCTTCATCTATACCAGCGCCACCTCAAGAACCGCAAATTTCCCCGCCAAAATCGATTTTCCTATCACCGACACTGCAATCTACCCTGACACCGTCGCCATCGCATTCGGCATCATTATCAGCATCATTATCACCCTGGTCATCAACCTTATCATCAACGTCACCATCGCCATCACTTTTACCATTGTCATCAGTATACCGCTTACTACCAACCTCATCAACACCTTCGCCATCACTTTTACCATTGTCGTCAGCATTCCGCCTACTACCAACCTCATCAATACCTTCGCCATCACTTTTACCATTGTCGTCAGCATCCCGCTTACTATCAACCTCATCAACACCTTCGCCATCGCAACCACCTCCACCTTTGCCGCCAAAGATACCTATACGAAATCCACCTTGGGTGCCGCCACCGCCACAACTTATACAACCGTTATCACCTTCTCCATCGTCGTTACGGCAATCACCGCTGATACTACTTCCATCACGGGGGTCAGTAGGACAGTCCGTTTCCGTGCCACCATCTTCATTCCAATCGTCCATGGTGATGCCACTTCCGCCAATAACACAACAGTCTATGACAACGGTGTCATCAATATCACCATCAGAGTCTTCCACATGGTC